CTTTCAATGCATTCTATCTAGATACAGGTACACTGCTGACATAGATAAAGAGCTTACTATGTGCCTAAAACTGTGCCAAGCACTTTATTTAATCTCATTTAATCCTCATAACATAATGAGGTAAGTATATCATTATCCCTACTTTACAGATAAAGACACTATAATATAAACATTTTCCTAATTATTTAAATGTTGTTGTTCTGTTAGAAAAACCAGGTTACATTTTAATAATTTTATTTTCAAAGTATACTTAAAATGTCATAAATATGTGAAGGTTATATTATATTTTTTTCTTTAGAATAATAGTTGAAATAGAAAAATAGTTGCTTTACTCCAAGTTCTTTTCAAGACAAGCATGAACCAACCCTCAGAATACATACTAGCAGGTTTGGTTCTGTGTTTTCTTAGACTTCTAATTTGTTTATTTGGCTTTCATTGATCATAGAGCCAATTACATTTTCTGTATTCTTAATGCTCTACATTTGGGAAGGGGATGTTACAGATCTTAGTAGAGACTGCCTCTTCCAGAGCTAGCTATTTCCTAAAGAAAACTTTGCCAACCAGCATGCCTTTGCCATGCACACCCACCAATCCAGAGTCTATACCCCTCCTGTCTCCTTAGCTATTAAAATTCTCACTCACCAAGCCATGTTTTCCCTACCCTAAGTCATCCCATGACCAGGTACCAGGCAACTGGGAAACCAACTCCATAGGCCAAAGCATGGAGGAATTAATGATAACTAGCCAAAACTAAATTGTTTATTCTGCCTAGCCTTGTTCTTCCAAGAGAAACCCCAATAAAGAACATGTGCTAAGATCTCCTTGTACTTTTGTCATCTTCCTGTCTTGCTCTCATCCGGTGATCTGGTATAGCCTTCAGTTACTCCCCTCTTTGTAGGAACTGAGAGTATAAAAAACTTCCAGGCCTCATTCTTCTTAAGGCACATCCAACAAAGTACACTGATCATGTGCTCATTCAACAAATCCCCGGTTCATTCTGTGTGCATCAGCATTTATCAGCATGATAAAGAAGTCTTAGGTTTCAATACTCCAGGAACTGAGGATTTTTGTATAAATTATTATATTTAATAGAAAGAGAGCAATGCCATTTATTCATTTAATGAATGTCAAGTACTGTACTTGATACTGCAGAAAACATGTGACTTGAGTTCTTACAAGAATGACCGGGGATTTACAGGAGATGGTACTCGAGCTGGGCAATATTCGAAATACAGAAATGAAAATATGCTGTAGAAGGATTAACCCACAACAATAAGAAGGATTAGCTGGAGGAGGGAAATTAGTTGAAAAGCTATTGCCTCAGTTCTCATATAGAACAGTCATGGTTTAACTGGAATTAAAGAATTTTAGATTGAAATATAGAAAACTAAGCATCCAATGTAATTAGCATTAAACTAATTACAGGTTTCTTCTACTATCCTAAAGTGGAATGTTCTAAGCTAGTATTATTTGAAAAGTTACTTTTGGGAATGCTATTGCCATTCATTTACATGGAATTTTTTTTTAACATTCCCAGAGCCAAAAAATAACACATCAAATCATACCAAATAGGAACAGTCTAATTTGGAGTAGTGTTTATTTGCAAATTATTATCCTTTCTTCTCTTCTCTCTATGCACACTAATTCTATTAAAATTCTTTCACACTAAGAATTTTGTGTACTTGGATGGCTGGACCCCTATTGGTCATGCATGTTTGGGGGTTGGGGTGCCTCTTCCTTGCACGCTAACACCAGCACATACTCAATTTATTGTTAAAATTATTTCAGCTATTCAGAATCAAAAGCTACTTATACATGTGATTGCATCTTGTGACTTAATAAGCTTTGTTTCCAGTAAAACCTAGAAGGGGGTCATAAAGTCTAGACATAATTAATAGCTTTGTGTAAGTTAAGTGAGAAGTAAGTGAACCTATTAATAAAATTCAAATGAGCAGGTATCAAATGGCCCCTGGCAAATAAATGTTTTAATTTTATCTTTATATAAAAATTCAAGCTTACAAATCAGACAAAGTAGAGAAGGCAATCATTTAATCTTAAATTTACAAAGGTGTTAAATCACCAGGTTTTTTAAACAGTCTCCAAAAGCATAAAATTAAATATTGTTAATGGACCATTAATTACTTGATAACTAAGAACCAGGGAAAGATTTACAATTAACCTAATGTGATCTGAAGTGAAAACAACTTGGAAATAAAACAGTTCATGCTTTTAGTCTTGATCTTTCTCCCCTCATATAGAATTGAATTTCTTATTAGTCACTGAATATTGTTATCAAAACAAAATTCACCTCATTAACCTTTTTATCTCTCCTCTTAAAATGAAAGTTAACAGTGCTCCTCTTCCTGAATTCCTTATTTCTACTAATTAATAAATCCACAGAGGATCCTACCTGGCTCCTCCCTTTACCCCTTACAGTTTAGTTCTGTTTTCCAAAGCCTATTATTTTTACCTCCCTAATCTCTCAATCTACTTGCTCCCTTCCTGTTTTAAAGGACTACTGCTGAAAAATAAATATATAGAGGACCACCATTATAAATTAATTTCTTTACCTTCAAATTGCTCCTTTATAAAAACCAAGTTGTTACCATTAAAGCTATTACTAGATATTCACCAAATCCATGTTCCTTTATTTGCTTAATTCTATAATCTCATCTCAATTTTACATTTCTAGCCTTCCTGCTCTTTGTTCTCAGACATTTCCATTAACTGGATTATTAGTCCCTCTACAGGCATCAAATCTGCCTATTGTCATTTGAGCTGCTTTATCCAAAACCACTCTTCTACATTAGTTACCCCTTGAAAAACTGCCCTCCAATTCATATGGTATCTTCCCTATAAAAATTCACCTACCTTGATTACATTATTCATCTACATAACACACCATTTATGCATAACACTTAAGCACATTTTACATGCCTCTATTTGTGCGGTTTTATCTTCCCTTCTAGATCTTTAAAAGATATTCATTACATTTACCCAAGTTTGTCAAGTTAATAAATTTTTAAAACTTTCATTTACAAATAGTTTATAAGTTTATCAATTTTACAAAGTGAGACACAACTGTGCTTAAAATTTTTAAATAAACTCAACTATCAGTCTTTTTGAGATTAGCTAAAATTAAAGATGTTCTTTTCCCTAAAGAAACAGCAGATACAAAGTCTAACCTGACGTATATGTTTATGGCAAAAATTGGAAATAAGTTCCCCAAAACAGGAGAATATTTAAGTATATTTGGAATTTCTCAATGCTTAAATGTTAATTGTCATTAACAATATCCCTAAACAATATTTTGAAACATGGGGAAATACTGAATTATTATTCAATTATTAATGGAAAGAAATTTTGAGAATTAAGAACATACTCCTAGCTTGTAATTAGAAACATATATAGGTACAGAAAGTCTCAAATGACATTAATATTTATCTATACATGTCATTATGATTTTTACTGTCCTGTTTTTCCCAAATTCTCTACCAAATGTATGTAAAATATGTCATATTTTAATAATTAGGGAAAAATATGAAAAACTAAAAATGTGTTACCTATCAAAGGAATAAAATTAAACTAAACTTAGGCATTAATATAGAAATAATTAGAATATTTTGAAATAAGATGAAAAAACCTAATATAAAGGACTCTAGAATATTTTCTGTTTAACCAAGAGAAGGTATACTAAAATTCTGCCACACAGAACAGTGATTATAGTTAAATAAAATATTATGGTTCAAAGACTGAGCCACCAAAATCCAAAAAATATATTTTGACCAAAAAAACCCTACAGTACAGTTACATACAAAGCATAGGTTTTTCCTGCAAAAAAATAACTATCATAATTCATTAAGATATAAAAATAATTACCCTTTTAATTCTCTCAACATGGGAATAAAATCCATAGAAGTTGATAGGAGATAAACCATGGGGTCTTTATTATGGTTTCTTCACTAATGCTTCTCTCTTTTTTCTCCCACTAACACAATCCTAGCCTAAAGAAAAATTTTTGTTAATTATCTGTGAATAAATTTTCCCTGACAGGTTTTCTAGACTAAGAAGTACCTGATATGCGTTACACCCTACAAAAACCAAGCATCTATTAAGGGAGATGTGTTTTCTGTTCTCAAAGCAATTTTAAAAATCCATGGGGATTTTGAGAAATGAACTTTTACAACAGAGATACATTTGTAGGACATATTGGGGACATGGAAACCTAAGAATACTAACAAGAGATGGAAACTAGACCACATACACTGTTAATCTGCAACAAGAATCCTTACTAAACTGTCCAAACAGTGAAACCAAAATCTACCAAGGAATCTTTCCAGGAAAGTACATAGCTTACTTCCAGTCAGGTAAAAACACTAATATACTAAACACAAAGAGATAATCATTGGTTCCAAATCCTTTACAGAAACCCCCAACAGACTGCTCAGATTAGGTATCTACTGAGATTGTCTTCTCTGCGGGTTAAAAGTTTTATAAAGCAGTCACCAAACCAATGCATCCTACAAAGAGATACATGGCAGACTTGATACAACACAGCTAATCCAAGTTCCAATGTTAGCCACCAAATCAATTGTGCATGGCAGTTACTATGGATCTGGGATTGTAGCATAGCACAGCATTAGACAAAAAGGGATACAGAGTAAGATATATAACAGAGGAAAGAGAGGATACTGGGTGTTACCATAGTAAGCTTTTGTTTGTTTAAATATTCTTCATACCACACAAGGCTATAATGAAGTACCAAAGTGGTATCACAATGTTAGCATCTAGGTAAATGATTTATTTCAATATGCCATCAAATAGAATGGTGAGCAATCTGTGCATTAGTATTTGATCTGCCTCAAACAGAAGATATCACTGTAAATAATTCTAAACATAAGCACAATTTAGTGAATAAGGTAGGAGACTGGTAGATTTTAATTTTCAGATTTAACTTAAAGCTGTTCACCAGTCACCTGCTGTTTTGACAAGTTACTTACCAACTTGTGCTGCCATTTCTCCGTAAATATATCCCCTAAGATGAGGATAATTCTTGCAAACTGTGTCACAAGCATTTGAAAGGAACCATGAGTTATTGTGTAATGCTCTTGGAATTCCTCAGATGTAGGGTCCTACACAAAGTAAAGTATTATTATACATCTCTCTAACAGTAGTCATCTGTTTGCATTATGACTTTTCTTCCCTACCCTTGACACTGTGATTCTTGGGCACTAACCTTTCTCAAAGTAAAGCATCCAAAGAAAGCCTTCATTCCTGACCCACATAATTACTTTTTCAAGTCTCGATAGTCACATCTTTCTCTTCCCTAGGAGGTATAATGGAAATATACTTTTGTTCAATTGAAAAACAAGTGGGTTAATTTGGTATTTTTAATCTACTCTGTAGTGCATGATTTTATTTCCCATATTTGTGTATATTTGCTATATTACTTTTTAAAATTTTAATTATATATTAAGGAATTCACTTATAGATTTATGTTTTATGAACAGAAAGAGCAGGTTGGAAAATGAAGTAGCAAGAGAGGCAAGCAAGTAACTACTGCTATGTAACCAAAATGCTTTTCTGGAATGACCCAACAGTAGAAATTATTTTAGGATACAAAAAACAGAATCAAAACTCATAATCTTTGTATCTTCTATAGAGAGTTAAACATAAGCTACAGTAACATTTATTATGCTATTCAAAACTAGCTTCTGCTGGCCATGCTAATCAAGTTAATTTTCAGTTCAAGAGTAAGCTATACTTGAATTGTTTAGCTTGTGTTGGTACTGTATTATATCTTGAAAAGAGGATGTTTGATCTTACACAGTTTCTAAAATGGTTTTTCTTTGAATTTATGACCAGGTTGAGAAGGAGGGAAAGAATTACAAAACATGGTGTCTTCACTGTATAAAATAGTGTCTTTCATTATAAAATAATTTTTAGAGATTTTTTTAACCCTCAAAATTACATTAAAATACTGATGGAAATTAGTTTCCTCCTAGGTGACTAAATATTTTTCTACATTTTAAATATAGCTGGAGAAAAACTTCATGGGATAGAGGTAAAATCACATCATTCAGAGTGTTCTCTTAACATTTGCTAGCCCAGTAATTGTTAGTCTTTTAATCTCTCTTAACTTCAGTTTGTTGATCTGTAAAATGAGGACCATAACACCTCTCCTAGCTACCACACAAGACTGTTGTGAGGCTTAAATGAGATAATCTACTTGAAAAAAAAAAAAAAAAAAAACATTTTAAACCACAAAAAGTTATCACAGCAGTCATTTTTACAGACTCATGTTCTTTATAAATTGTGGTCATAAAAGTTTAGTATTGATTCTAAAATGAAATAAATTGAAACATGTTAAAAATACATGTGTAGGATCATGGACACTAAATTATACCTCTGGCTGAATATACAGTCAGTAAATGATCTTGTTAACAAAAGAAAACTTCCTATATATTATCCTAAAACCTTCAGAAGTAAATTTGGAAGGACGTATAAAAATAAAACTAACAACTCATTTATTGTCCTAAAATATTGGAAAATAAATATATTTACTGTTAGCTATGGTGCAAGAAATTGAAAGACATTAGTTTTTTGTTTTTTTTTTTAAGGGTGCTAAAAATTCATATGAAGGAAAAATATACACATGAAACTTCTGAAACAGCTGTTCACTTCTCTGGAAATAATTCAGAAAGACCTAGTAATGATAGCAAGGGGTATACATATATAAGAGAACAGAGATGAAAATGGGCATAAACTGCACTCCAGGTATTATAAAGAAAATCAGTTAAACCTTCCTATGTAGCTCCTAAAATGTCCAGATTGGGAACCTCTCCAATAGGTCACATGTCAAATCTATTAACTATACTGTTATGGTTGAGTCCTCCAGTAGATTTTATCATGACTTTCAAGAATAACTTATCCTTCAATGAATGAGGTCACCTCTTTCTCTTTCACTCCTTATTATACAATATTTAGTATGCTTATAAAACCAATCTCTATAAGAAAACAATTCTTAGCTTCCTCCTGACTGTTTGCTTTCTTGCTGATACAAGTTTAAAACTCTGATAAAGTGAATTAGCTTTTATTACATAGTCCTAAAAATTCAACCAGACTCAACTGCCAGATTTTCAAATCAATTAAAGAACTGCTCACAAATTTAAAAAGGACTAGGGAAGGAGTACGTTTAAATTACTAAGGAATTATTCCAAAGAGAAATAATTTTAGTTAAAAAATTACTAAAATTTCCCAGGCAAACACTGTATCAAAACTGGGGTTAAAAGTTGAAGTCCCTATCAGAGCAACTACTACCTCCCTTGAATTGTCTTAGATTCTCCTATATCTGTAAACTAGTACACTTCAGTATATCACTGAACCTGGGCTTCTAGTAATAAAAAACTTTTCTCAGGATCAGGATCCCCTCCTATAAAATTAAGCTATGCTAGTTCCAGATTTATCTTTTGGCTATTATACGGTCAATGATTTAATTAAACTTAAAACTTCATTTTCTCCCAGAAATCTCTTTAATGCTATTCCACAATGACACTTTTCATCATTTAAATATCCTATTTTTAAATACATATCACCTATCCAGTTAGCTCAGTTATATATGCCTTCTTAACTCCCAACCCAGGCTCTAAATTTTTCATAGACAAAGTTCACGCCTTTCATTTTTCTGTTCCGTAGAAGGAGATAAAAACTGAACAATAAGGCAAACCTTAAAAGTTATCATAAGTTAGGTATACCCACCCTTCCAACTTTATTTATATTACCAAATAATGCTTCCAGGATGAATCAAAAAGGTGATATAAATGTCACAATGCAATCATCACAATGTCAACATGACCACAAAGAAGCCTCTGGTTACTTAAGTTGCTCAGATCTTCACCAACAGAATTAAAAGCTGTTTCATGCAATATAATCGTTATCTATTAGTGTATGGTGTCTACCTTTGTCCTGGACACAGGACAGGCATTATATTTAAATTTTGTAAACCTAACTAAATTTAAGTAACTGTATTGGCAATTTCTATGTGCTAGCTTTGTACTTTCGACTTGCCTTGTAATCTCTCAGAAATTACTAAAGCAATACAAAGAGACATTCAGTTATTTCAGTGGGGCATGTTAAGTATATAAGTAGCAGCCTCAACACCATGAAAATCTCAACCTGAGGCAGTGTTCCAAACTAAAAAAGGTAAAGGATCCATCTGCATCTGAAGCAGTGATAAGTATCAATAAATTAACATTCGTTTCTCCCAACATGACAATCTAAATGCCCAAGATTATGAAAATCTTGTAAGGTTCCTTAAAATATTCTTGCTTGGTAGAGTACAAGAAAGATGTCATTTACCTTGAGTTCTGCAATAATTAGAGCTACTGTAGCAAGCATCACTACCATTCATCCAAAAAAAAAAAAAAAAACTAAATACAAATTAAGGCAGAAGAAAAGGAACTAAGATAAGACCCTAACAACAAAGAAAAGATGTACAATATTGACAATCAGAAAAGTGAGATTTAGCATGATAGTGAGATGGTATGAAAGATGAGCAACATGCCTTAACTTAGTATCTTAGAATTTTAAACTTACATTAACCTCAAAAGTACACTAACAATAAAAAAAACCCACAGAAATAAAGTAAATGTCATAGAAAATATTTAAGGGCCATTAATGTGAAAGTTAGAACAAGAAACTGTAAATCAGTACAGTTGCAGCTTTACTGAACTTATCACATAAAGAATTAACTTTTACTTATAACAACTGAAAGCAAAATTCATGTGACATCTTATTTTGAAATATGTATATCCAGGAAAACAGAAGATAAAACATGCCCAAATTCCTCAAAATTCTCATTACCCTATAAACTGTTTTAAATTTGGCTTATATGACTACCACATAAAAAGGACATCTTACATTTGCAAAACTTCTAATAGCTAGTATTACTACTTGAAAGTAGGAAATTAGGAGACTGAAAGATATTTCCAACCAAGCCAAATAAAATTATACACTTAAAATGCTACATACAATAGGGAGGAAAATAGAAAATAAGGGTTTATTTTAGTAAGTGAAAGTTAAAAACTCTTATCTTAATTTTTTTTTTTCTCTCTGATGCATGGAAATCAACACAGTATGAATTATGTGTTTAAAGGTGGCTGAACAGTAGTAATTAATAATCTATATACTCTATGTCGAAGATGATGTATACAACACAGGCTGGTTTTCTAAGTTGTTTTGCATCACCATAATTATGTTGACACTAGGGTTTCATACCACAAGGGTTTATAGTTGTAGTTAAAACAAGAAAACATAAAACAAATTATTCAGAAGCATGCAACTGTAAAGGATATATTTAGCTCCTAGTTTGGTTTTAAAGCTTGATTTTTTCAAAAAGGGCTAAGAAATAGAGAAAATATTTGACATTTCAAACTTAAATGATAGAATTAGAAATATTAAACAAAAAATTCTTCAACTTACCTGGTTTCTTTCTGGATTTTTCATGACCTAGCTGCCCTAGATCATTACATCCACATGTATACACTGTTCCATCATCCAGAACAAATACAGTATGCCTGAGTCCACATCCTACATCTCGGACCTTTTTATTTATAAAAAAGTCACTTTTTCTGGGCTCTAATACAATTTCTTCATCAATTCCACCCAAACCTAGCTGTCCAAAAGATGCATTTCCCCAGCACAACATGTTTGTAATTCTTTTGGTCTTCCAGTTTCAACAAACAACTCCCTTCTGAACCACTGGAAAGCTGGAGGTATCCCTATAGCTGAGGAGATAGAAAAAAAGTTAAGATGACTTCAAAGGAAACATGATACATAATTGCTCTTTCAAGTGCTGCACTACAACAGTCATTATATAGACAACATGAAACCTATTTTAAAAATATGCTACATAAGTATTTAGTTTCAAAAACCAATCAGTGGGGTTTTTTTAAATGATGGTCTAAATACAGCATCCAGAAACATTTAAGGAAAATGTATCACTCTCCATGACTGCAAAACATATTGCCCACTTTTGACTTTTTGTTCTCTTGTGATAATCTAACAAACATTAAGTATCTTAATGAAATGAATCTTCTTCCCTTTAAATAATTCAATGGGAGCAAGAAAGAAGACATCATCCACAGCTCCCAAAAATCAACCCATATATATAAAATGTAAGCACATACAGCATCATACAACCTTGCAATCTCCCTCAAATCACAAGAAAATTAAACTTTCTAATACCTACCTCCACATTAACAGAAACTGAAGTTCTATCTGTAATGGAAATAAAACCAATAATGGAAACTTTAAACTTCCCACAATTTAAATGACTCTTCCAATTATTCATACCAATAGGACCTGGAGAAAATTAATGTCCACATGTCAAAACTTAATAATAAGACGATCGCCTCTAAAGATCTTGTGAAAATAGTTAACCCTCCGACCTCACTACTAATTCTAAAACTGAATCAGTGTACATAACTATCATACAAGGAAAAAACATGCATTTTTAAAAATCAAGGTTCTCCCCCAAATTAAACACTTCCTATTAGGAATGGTAACCGTGATAGAAAAAAATTTCCCCTGCGCTCTTTATACCTCCCAGACAATGATTTGAAGATAGAAAACAACTACAAAAAACCCCGGCACTGCCAGTTTTTCAAGAATTAGATGGGGGGTGGGGGGGGCTGGGACATTGATAGCTGGATCTCGAAATCTGTCGAACTTTCTAGTACACTGATTATTTCTTCACTTGTAAAGATGCAGATCACAAAGAGTTCACTTCATCTAAACCTACACAGATTTTTTCTTACCACATCGCATTACAAAATGACACAATTACAGGAAGACAGCCTTATGCCCGTTGTAATCCCCACATTCCTTATGCAAACCTGGGAAGTTTCAAAACCCAACTTTGCTACGTTCGGGCTAGCAAGGGCCGAGACTGTCCCACTGCATGACCTCTCCATTAGATAAGTTTGATTTCATTCTCTTGGGGCTTCAGAACTTGATAGTTCCGAGAGTTCTGCATTGTCTTCACACACACACCCCCTTTTTTTTTAAATTAGAGGGGACGGGAAAATACCCCAGATTTCAGCGCATGAGGTCAAAAAGAGTATGGGAAAGGCTTCCCCTCGTCAGCAACAGGTAGGGGAACGCCAGCAGTTTGCTCCCATCATTCCCCGAACATACTCTCAAATCAGCTTGGGGGGGCCGGGGGGAGCAATCTTCTGCACACACCCAACCTCGCGGGCAGACCAGCCAACTACGGCAGCCGCCCGCTCGCAGCAGCTGCAGGAATCCGCGGACAAGGCTCCGCACCTCGGCGGCCTTCCCCAGGGAGGTGCGACATTCCGGCCACCGGGCCGGGGAGCCCCGACACTGCCCTCGGCCCCCACCCCCCACCCCAAGAAAGCGCTGAGAAAGCACCCTGCGCCCGGCGGGCCTGTATCCGCCCAAGCCGGCCTCCTCCTCCCTACACCGTCACACACCCCCGAACCCCCCGGGGCAACGTCTCACCCGGCCCCTCAGAGGCAGGGGAAACCCTGGCGATTGGGGCGGCGCCTCCCGGGGGAGCGAGGCAACGCCGCAGCTGAGGCAGGTCTCCAGCTCCCACACCCTCCTCCTCCAGCCCGGGGAGGCGATCGCCGGGGCTTCTCCGGCGCCGGTGCCGCTGCTCCGCCGCTCCTCGCCCCGGCGCCTGTGAAACTTTACCAGGTTCCTTGGAGAAAAGCAACCGCCACCGCTGTCCAGTCCAGAGACAGCCGTCAGCGACCCGGATGGAGCGGGAGGGGAAGGACGGGAGGAGAGCCCGGCTGCGAGCGCTAGGGGTGGGGAGAGTTGTGGGGCGAGACCGGGGAGGAGTAGGGAGAGCGGGGGGGGGGGGGGGGGGGAGGTGGCTAGGCGGGGGAGGGGGGAGGGGCCTACCGGAAGTGAACCGCGGAGCACGCACGCGAGCCCGCCCACGTCCCGATTCGGGCGCCTGCGCCGGCGTCTTCCCAGGCCACCCCGACCCAGGCGCATGCGCAGTGTGCCGCTTGCGACGAGGAAGACTCCAAATACAAAAGTTGTAGTTTTGGAAGCCCCAGGTGTTACTTATCTTGTATCAACGTTTCATCGCGCACAAAGGCCAATTTGCTCAAGAAAATTTTCTTCGGTTTTTTGGTTTGGTTGTCTTTCCGTTCTTACCTTCCGGTCTAGTTGATATTTTATTTTGCTTTTTTCCAAGGGGAGTTTGTAGTAGATGAAACACGAATATGAGTAATGAAGGCGGGTGAATTACTTTCTCTCCCAGTTTCAACCCGAGCTCTCAGTAAAGGAGGTATATACACAGCAATGGCTGAAGCTACTGACATTAAATGTCAATATGACCACTTTGTTCGAGGTGGTTGCCTTAACTTTCAGTACTCTCCGTGGGAGATAAACTTACATTACAGGGCGTCTTTTTTTCAGAGAAGATTAATTAATGCATATGGCTAGAGTCCCTGCTTCATGAAAACGAAGTCTGGAATTCCGTGGCTAGGCTTCTTAACATAATCTCTTTAAAAAGAACTCGAAACAAGGCACTTTTTGAAATTTTGTGTTAGACTTTACTGGAACCTTCTTCAGAGTGGCTGCCGAGACCCGGAAAGAATTCCCTAATAGGCCATATTTATCTCATTGAAAAAATGTGAAAAGTGCCTGTAGTACGGTATGTATAAGTATGTGTGTATACACGTTTACTAGGGCTGCCATAACAAAATGTCACAGATGGACTAGTTTTTTGTTGTTGTTGTTGTTTTCTGGAAGAGGAGACAGATCCATGACAACAAAAATGTGTTATCTCAGAGATGGACGCCAGAAGTCTGAAATCAAGGTGACATGAGGATTGATTCCCTCTTGGGGTCTGAGAGGGAAAATATTTTCTATTCTCTGCTAGCTTCTGCTGATTGTTAATCCCTGGCAATCCTTGGTTAGTATATTCATCATTCTAATCTCTGCCTCCATCTCTGCATGGTGTTTTTTCCTATGTTTCTGGGTCCAAATATTCCTCTCTTCAGGGCACTAATTATTGAAATAAGGACCACCCTAATCCATTATGACCTCCTTTTAACTGAGTTATTATCTGCAAAGACTATTTCCAAATAAGGTACTGAAGGTTAGGACTTCTACATCTCCCTTTGGGAACCCATTTCAACCCACAACAATGTGTTACAGAAATAAGTGTTAAATAATGAGATGCTGAAGCAAAAAAAAAAAAAAAAAAAAACCACAATTTTAATATTGGTAATGGTGAAAATGTCCACAAAATACAATTTATTCTTATTTTGATTTTGACAGCATTATTGTCCTTGGAGGACTTTTAATGTCTTTTAACTTTAAGGACTTTATGCCTCTGACTATGTCATTAAAGAGGAAGTTATAGGGTTTGGAATCTTTAAGATAATGTACTTGATGCTGCAATAAATAAATACCAAAACTTTCGGGGCCTCCCTGGTGGCGCAAGGGGTTAAGAAGCAACCTATGAAGCTACCCACAGCCACTGCAGTTCTATCTGTATCCCAGGTCAGGGAACTACTCACAGGGCACAGCAGACCTCTCCTGACTCATCCACTGCTCCCCTCAGCAGTGTATTTCAGTCAATCTGCCTGTTCTGCTCCCCACCTCTGTCTCTGGTGAATCCTCTCACACACACACCCGCGCACCTCTGGCCTGTACCCCAGTTCTTGTATGCATAAATAAATATCTCTTTAAAAAAATACTAAAACTTGAATGGCTTTACACAATGAAAGTATGCTTTTGATGGTTTTAAGAGTTCAAGTGGGTATTCTGAATGAGTCTGATTTCTGGGAATCTGGTGAGATGTGGGCATAGGAGCTTTAAAACGTTGTGAGGTGCCACCTATCACTGCTATGCATGTAACATTAACAAAAACTACACACTGCAGCAGGGGGCTGGGAAACATAACCCCTGCCTGAATTCCCAAGTGCTACTTTATATTATGGAATAGAGAGTATAAAAATATCGCCTGGAGTATTTTTAAAGATAAGTCTTCCTTATAAAAGTGCAGTGGACCTTTCTATATGTTATCTTTAACCTATGACACTGTGACACAAGATCTTAGAAAATAATCTGTGATTATCTTTAAGGTGTAACAAGTACATTAAGTATTATGGATAGATGCTTGGAAACTGACTTTAAGCAGGCAAAAGTATACTTAAATATAAAGATAGCAAAGCAGGTCCTTGCATAACATTTTAAGCAACCTCTCATTTCTTTTTTCTCAGTATTAAGGTGAAATGACATTATTTGAGGACCTGCCAGATAGGATCATAGGGTTATTAGAAAATGTAAATCTGTTGCACAATAAGAGCAGGAGATAGTGAGTTACCGTGGATTCAGAGCCTGAGCCTACAGGCCACCGCAGACCCCAATACTATCCTGCCAAACGGACATTTACAGAA